TTTACACCATTGGTTTACGCGGCAACTTGCCAATATATCTGCAAAATTTCTTGAAGGGTAGGACTTTTCAGGTGAGAATTGGCTCTGTAGTCTCAGATGTATTCTCTCAAGAAGAGGGTGTGCCTCAAGGCTGTGTGCTAAGTGTTACTTTGTTTAGCTTAAAAATTAATTCTGTTCTGAAAGAACTTCCTCCTACGGTTTCAGGTTCTTTATATGTTGCTGACCTCCAAATATGCTGTCAAGGTGCAGACATGAGATATGTAGAGAGGCAGCTGCAAATCGCTCTTAATAGAATCGATCATTGGTCAAAAAAGAAGGATTTATTTTTTCAAAACAGAAGACTGTATGTGTCCATTTTTGCAGAATGCGTAATCTTCACCCTGACCGTGAACTATATATTGGAGAATCAATGATTCCAGTGGAGTCTAAAGTAAAATTTTTAGGAGTGATGTTTGACCGAAAATTGACCTTCCTTCCACACATCTTATACCTAAGGAAGAAGTGTTTGAAGAGACTGAATCTTTTGAAAGTCCTGGCGAACACCTCCTGGGGCGTGGACCGTTACTTGTTACTTTGGGTTCGAGCACTTATACGTCTAAACTTGATTACGGGTCAGTTGTTTATGGTTCTGGAAGGCCTTCCATATTACTAAAACTAGATCCTGTTCATCATCAGGCGCTACATATATCTTCTGGTGCGTTTAGAACATCTCCAGTCCTACGTTGACTGCCACTAGCCATCGCTTCGCTTAAGACGTGAGCAGTTGTCTCTCTGCTACTATTTCAATGTTATGTCACTTGCTGACCATCCAAACCATATTTCTTCCATCGATGACAGTTACAAACTCTTGTTTGAGGCTAGACCATCCCATATGCCTTATTTCTCACTTAGGGTTAACTCTCTAATTGAGAAATACCACATGACAGATCTCTCTACCCAGGCAGTAAAGCATTTCGAAATCTCACCTTGGGAAGATGCTCGGATTTCACTATTAGACCTTTTCCAGCATTTTGCCAAGCAAGATACTAACGAGTTTGTGTACAGACAACTTTTTTCTGACCACAGGCGCAAATACAATAGTTACGTCCCTGTATACACAGACGGATCAAAAGCAGCAGGACACGTTGGTGCATCCTTTATTATTGAAGACCACATTGATGGTAAAAGACTGCATGACGCCTGCTCGGTCTTCACCTCAGAATTAAATGCTATATATTATGCTCTTTTGTTCATTTCTAAGCAATATCGAAGACAATTTATTATATATACAGACTCGTTTGAAATCCTTAAATTCAAGTCATAAGGCTCAGAATCCCAATGTTGTTGATATTTTGAGCCTTAACCTCAAATTAAGAAGCCGTGGGTATGATATTCTTTACTGTTGGGTTCCAGGACATGTGGGTATTAAAGGGAACGAGCTAGCAGACATCACAGCCAAATCTGCAGTTCATTTTGCGCATCGCCTCGTCCCGTTTAATGACATCCGTAAAGTCATCAAGGACAAGTTGTTGTTTAAATGGCAGGAAGTCTGGGATACTCAGCCAGCAAATAAGCTGAAAAGTATCAAACCAAAAATTGAATGCTGGGAGTCAAATAGGAGCCGGAAGGAGGAAGTTTTGCTGACCCGTCTGAGAATTGGTCACTCATATATTACCCATAGTTATCTGTTAAAAGGTGAGAGTGACCGGCGGTGTCCAAACTGTTTTGCTGTAATGTCAGTTCGTCATTTCTTATTAGAATGTCCAAATTTTAAAAATCTTCGTTTGAAACATTTTAAGAAATGTGACTTGCCTCTTGACCATATCATAGGAAAAGAGGTCAATCCAAATTTGTTTCAGTACCTGAAAGAGAATAGGTATATTTTATCAAATATAATTTGATTTTGTTGTGTTACCTTATTGTTTTTAATAAGAAGTTTTTTAATATATCTCATGTTTGATGATTTTAGTCTTGTTTTTTAATTGAAATAATTATGTGATGTGTGTAGTATTATTTCATTTCATTTTATCATTGTAGATAACCTCATCATTGTATTTTAAGCTATTCTTGTGGTTTTTATGTCATCTGTTTATTTATATGTCTATTTGGTGCTAAAAAATTTTTTTGACGTGTTCAGGCGCATATAACCATTGAGGTTTTGTGCCAAAAAATCCACTACCACCACCACCTTTACAATGTTCTTCGCAAATGTTTTATGGCAGCAATTTTCATCGTACATGTGTTGTTTTAATGCCATTTATGGTTTTCAATCCACTGATAAATTTGGGTGGGAAAAAAATTGGTGTTGCCCTTTGAAAATTTTGAAAAATGAATATGCAATGATGCAAATTGGCAATCTGTTGCATCCCATACATGTGCTATCAGATTTTAATCTTTAGAATATGTAAATTCCTTCACTCTTGAGATAATTAAGTAGTGCAACAAGATGAGCACAAGCATTATCATCCATTAGGAGGAAGTTATCACCAATTGTACTGTTAAACAACTTGACATAAAGATCAGGAATTTCATCTTTGTATATTTCAGCATTCTTAGTTGCACTGGTAAAAATATGTAAGCTAGTGTGCCCATTCAGAATAATGCCTACCTGTAGCATGATTTCACCACCTTAGTTTTTGATTTTAGGTTTATTGCATGTATTTTATTCCCTCCAGATTGTAATGCATTTGGAATCACACTCCAAACAAAAATGAGAATCATCTGCAAATAGAATATGGATTCAGTCTTTGATACTGCAGTTACAAATATCTGAACTACTGCAATCGGGCACATTTTGCAGCCCAGGGTAGTGGAACATAGATCATGAATTTTTTTGCATACAGTTTCCTTTTTTATGCAATTTGTCAATCCTGATTTATTTGAATAGTCAAGTTTTTATAACTGCTGCAAACTCTCTTGCTATCTGGACTGATGCCATTTGTCTATTTCTTTTATAAATTCTTGCCAAATAATAGTTCTAAATGGCCAATCCTGTTGTGGCACCTTTTTTAACCTTGACCTGTTTGTCTGCCTATATGAGTAATATCTTCAACTGTTTCATAATCTTGACATAACACTTTTGGCTATTTATAAGTTCATATAGACCTGTGTCAAGATGTATCCTCCCAATCACACATTGCTCTTTGCAAATGATCAGATGCCTTCTCAACGATGTATTCCACCTTTCACACATGAAAAGTTTACCCAACTATTCATACAGTCTTTGAAATTAGAATTTGAAGCACATGCTTGCACTCCTTTCCATGTATGCCAAAAGAATGGGCACGAACATTTTGCATATTTTAAATGTAGTGAAGATGAATCCCAACACTGACTTCGAGCTACTTGTCATCAAACCACCTTTATTAGACTTCTCTGAATAAAATGAACATAAGCACTTTTTAATTGTTTTTTTAATTTTTTCCACCTGTATATTTTATTGTTAATTGTTTCTTTAATTTTTTCCACCTCCATATTGTATAAGTGTTTTAAAAAATTATGTTTGGAATTTAATGTTAACTACTTGAAATTTTAGGGGGTTTGTTTTATGTTAAATATTTGATTGTGTTTAATAATAATTATGCATGGTAATATTTCTGTTTTGTTCTTAAAATAATATTGGAAGAGTAATTTCAATTTAAAGGAATGTTTTCAAACTCTGTGTAATCATTTTAAAAGTAAATTTGTCGTTTTCACCTTCCATGGCAAAAATTTATTTTTTAGAAATGTAATTATTTTTGTTTTTTTCCAAAATTATTAAATTATTTCCATTGTTACAAGTACATAATACTAAATATAATTGTTGTGAAGTATATGCAATATTTTATCTAGATTTTATATCATTTCTAGTCTTTACTAGTTTTTCCCTTATGTGAATTTTTTTGCAGGAATATTTAAAAAAAGCTGAAGGAAAATTGAAAAATAATGCTGAAATTCTCATTTATACAAAATAAATATCACAAATTATGAAGTTGCAGTTAGAGACAAGGCTAAAATCCACTGAGTGTGTAAATCAAGTAGTACTTTTTTCAGAGTGATAAAATCTTTTAAAAGTAGTATTTATATAATAATTACTTGTATTGTTTGTTAAATAAAAATAAGCTAATGTTAGAGGTATCTTAAATGAAATGCTGTATTTTTCAAGATTTAATCTATTTAAATACTTTCACATTGGTCAGTTTTGGTATGCCAATTCTGTTGCAAACATTTGATTTAGCACTAGTAATGGATAGTTTAATATCATAACACACTCATGAGATCTTAAGCTTCGTTTTATGTAACCTTAATTCACTAATTTTTTTATGAAGAAATTTGTTTACTAAACTGAGTATTCCTTGTTTAATTTTTGTAAAGAAGGCTAAAGATTAATTGTTATTTCTCAGTTTTCCTCTCTCGCATTTTAAATAAATGATCAGAGTTGGAAGATCTGCAGTTTACAGAACAGTATACAGTAAATTTATTTCAAAGGTAAGGTATACTGGCATAAAAAATGTGCATTAATTAATGAGTATGCTATAGACCTTTATTCAAAAAATGGTTGCTTTCAATCATCTATGGCAATAATTGGTGCAAGTTTAAACTCATAATTTTTTTAAAGATTTTGTTGGGTTTATATCTATAACTTTATCTAATAAAGACCAAATTATCTGTACCTTCAAATTTTTGCTAGAATGACGAGCGCAAGCTTGGCAAGATTTTTGCCGGCTGTCTTGGTCAGCGGAGAAATGTGTAAAACCAGTTTAATCGTTTATTTTCCTAAACAGAATCTAAATTCATGATTATATGAAACATTTATTTTATAAAAATTTAATAAATATTTATATAAATTTTAAAAATTTTTCTATGCAGCCTTTTTCTTCCTTTTCATCTAATTAATTTAATTGAACCTTGTGATAAAATGTTAATTGCCAGTGATATTTATTTAGGTTTTTATGATTTATGAAAGGGAAATCAGTGCTTATCAAGATGAAATTCTTTTCAAATTTATATCATCAAATTTGCAATAAAATGAATAGTTGATTAGCTAAATATAATTGATGGTGTTAATGTTATTTAACATAATTTTTATTTCAGCTCATGAACTAGAAGCAGTCAAAGCTGTTATTCAGCAAATGTTAGAAGATGTCCAAGAACGTTTGGTTTATAGAACCCATATTTATATGAAAACTGATATTCTAAATTATAATCCAAGTCCTGGGGATCTTGCTTACCCAGATAAATTAGAGATGATGGAGGTAAGAAAATGTTTTTTGGTTATATATTGGAATGCACTTTGTAAATAGAATTTCTGCTCAAGACCGTATACATCCTTTTAATTTTTAACTAGAACTTCTAGCTTCATAGTCTACTCATAAGAAAGCAACTATGACCTGTTAATTTTTAAAATGTGATCTGATACATATTCCTTTTTATATTTAAATTGCAGAGGTCTCTTTTTTTTATTATATAACTATTTTGTTACAGATTGTGCATACAAATTAAAAGTTTTATAAATTAAAGTAAGATTGCAGGTTAAAGTATAAAAAGATTAACTTCAGAAGTACTGATTACTATCATTTACTGTACTCTTCACTTTTTTTTTTTTTTTTTTTTTATTTAATGTTAAAACTATTATTCAAAAATATTTTGAAGTTTTCTCATTTTTGATACTTTCCTGTTTTGCAGTGCAGAAACAATTTCAATAAAAATGTTTTTCGTGAATTTTTCATCTCTGATAATTTTATAGTAAACTTACAATGCACAAGAAAATTACGATTTTATTTTCACTTTGTTAATTTTATCCGAGTTTGTTGGGCATACAATTTTTTACTTAAAAGTATTCCTCAAAAAATACTGAAATTTTTTTTATCAATTTTTATAACAGTGTTATTATGTGTATGCATGTATATGATAACTGTCTTTTATAAAAACATTTCTATAAAATATGGTACATTTTGCTCAGTGTATATTTTTCCATTTAACTTTTTCTCTGTTTTGTTTTGTAAATGTTTATACAAACACTAGTATACATATTTCTTCATGTATAAGTTCGCCTCCAGCAGAAACTGAATTACAGAATTCTCATGCAAATATTTTCATTATAAATTTGTGTGATTTAATTTTTATTTAGTGCATAATACATAAGTGTAATATGCAACTCTATTTGAAGACAGTATATAGTGGACTGTCATCCACTGTCCACTATACACTGCCATAGTGGACACTATGTAACATAGTCCACTATACATGATGACAGTCCACTATACACTGCCAACAGTTAGTGGACCCTAGCTAAGATTTATGATGATATGACTATGAGATTGATGACTAAAGGCATGTTGTTCACTAAATTTTGTCTTTCTTCTATTGCAGGCTGATGAAGCTAAGATTAAATTATATTAGTTTAGTTATTTATTATACTTACACCTCTCTCCCACATACACTTAACCCTTTGCAGTACGGTATGCAAAAAATTTCCCTCTGTACACAGAGAAAAATTGAATGAAAAAGGATTTATAGGTTAGTATAGGTTACTCTGAACATTCTTTATTTATAGTAGATAGCAGCATAACACAAACCAGTCCATAGTATATAAAAGGAATTGTTTGAAAAGAAATTTCTGTTTTATTTTCATGGCTATATGCTAATCTCCTTATTATATATTAGTTTTAAATTTACTGAATCTTGCTCAAATGAATGGTGTCAAGAATAGATAACTGGAACTAGACAGACCACAACGTATTTTTTTTCACTGCAACTCTTCAGTGGGCTCATCTCTACAGATAATAAAATAAAGATCTTAGTGTGTGGTCTTCGTCTGCCGCGCGTAGATAATAGCTCACGGCTACGAATTTGGTACATAGGTGCATCTAACAAAGCAGTGCACTCGACGCGATTTTTTCGAATTAAATCTTTTTTTTTTTATTTTTTTTTTAGTTTTGTGACGAAATCCGTCTTTGAGACTCATGGCTATAGAAGCAGATTTTACTCTCGCACTCCATTTACATCATATGAAATGTAGGCACTTAGCAGTTACGAAATTAAACAATTGGTGTTTAATGAATCGATTAATACAATTGTTTACAAGTGAGATTAAGCCTTGTCAAGGGATTTTTTAAAAATTTAATCTTAAACGTAAGTTGATTTTTCTTTGATTTTTGGACACGTTAAACTTTCATCTTGACTGCTTTTACAAAAAGAATTTGGAAAATGCTAATCTTTTGTATTTTTTAAAAATTTTAAATGAAGCTCTACGTACACTTATCACATACCATCTTAAAAGTTATTTGGCAACAATTTTCCTTTCTGATGGTTGTGATAGATTTTAATGAAATCGCGTCATTTGAAGCGTTTCATTCTTTTAGAAAATAGGTTGCAACCATTTTTCATACATTTTATGTCACTGTTTTTCATTTCATTGTCATTTTTATATGTGTTACATTTTATTGATGGTTTATAAAGTGTGTCTGAAGTAAATTGGTGCAGAATTTTTGTTTTGAGTTCTTCATGTTATTTTGCTTTTTTCACTGTTGTAGATATTGAAAAGTTGCCTGTTTTTTTACTTCAAGGAAAGTGGTAATTTTTTTATTAGGCTAATATATTTGTATAAGGATAGCTTATTTCATTGTAATTTTTTTTTTCTCTTGAAAATATAAAGAAAAAACATAATTACTTGCTTTTCGAATTTTTGTATTTTTATGTATTCTTCTATTTCACTGTTTTAGATTGAAAGGTGTGAGTGATTTTTTTAGAAAACAAAGTTCTTCCCCTTTATACCATCTGAGTTCTAAATTTGGAAAGGGAATTGGTTAATTTATTTATTAGATATTAATATTTGTATTAAGGATATGTATTTCATTGTATTTTGTTATACATTAAACTTTTTTTATGAAGTTTTTCGCGCCAGTTACAATAGAAAGGTGGGCAAGCGTGTTGTATTTCTGTTTTTCTTTTTTCTTTTTTTTTTTTGTTGGGGGGGGGAGGCTTGTATCACTAAGAAGTGTTGGGTGATTTTATGAAGTCAGGATAATTAGTAATTACTATTTGGTTTAACCTTTGAAATCCAGACCCTCGCTAAGCTGTATCCTCAAAATACGGAACCGCCCCAAATACTTTCGGTTTCTCAGCAATTCCCTTCCCCTCCATTAACAGAAAAGATTGAAGATGCGAATGACTCCTTTTACTTTCTAACAAAGATTTATAGTCTGACCCCGTTCTTATAACCTATTTAAAGGTCACAAACAAGCATTCGGCTGGTATGACACGACTGAATTTTATACTTCCCTTATTTTTATAGGAAGATAAATTGATAAATAATATAATCCTTAAAATTTAAACAGCACTATGCTGTTTAAATTTAGAGAAAATAGCTCTGTTAAAGATAGATATTTGTCCTAATTCTGTTATACGACATTTCATTCTTTTACAAGGAATAATGGTCCCGCTAAGCAAAATGCGTATATTTTATTATCAGTTGCAATGTAATCAGCCAATTTCATGGGAAAATCCTCCATGCCTCGTCAATCTCTTGTACTTTGCATAGACATAGGCACTTAACACCCGTCATGAATATCTAAAAATAATTTTCTTCTTAAAATTTAGTTTTCAGGAATTTATGTTTTTTTCTTTATTGAATAGGGATTAGATTTCCTTCATGTACTTTCTTTCTTTTCACGTTAAGTTGCTATTTTTAGTTAATGTGGTGCGTTATGCGTTATTTTTTCATTTTAGTTTATTTCACTTGGTTTTTCCTTTTCCAAAAATAATGAGGGTCTTTTAATTTGTTAATCTGTTGTTTGAAGCCATCTTTGGGGGGAATAAACCTTAGTTTATAGACTTTTTATGATTTTATTTATTGTATGAGTTTCAAAGCGTGTTTATAAATGGCATTGTTTTTCCGTGTTTTCATTAACTTAGTTATATATGCCTATCATTATTTCTTCATATGATATAGGTAAATATGTATATTATCGCTCATATAAATTTGTAGCTAAATATATGCATACATAAATGTGTCTCTTGCATAAATGTATCTATGTTTATATACATATTGCTGTTCATTCCACATTTATACAAGTTTTCGTGATGGTGCAATAACGTTTTCATTTTTTTTGAAATTGAAAATACTGTTTTTTTTAATAAAATAAACTTTAATAAAATTTGGATACTGTTCTGTAATCGGAACCGGATCAGAAATATATGAATGTATACACGTGTGTATGTATATGCATATATGTGTCTCTGTATATACACACGTATATTCTCTAATTTTTGTGCAAAAGTAAAGTTCTCTTTGCTATTTTTAACTTCAATTTCCCTATCAGACAAATGAAAATAATGCTTGATTTCCTAATCTCTTTCGCTCATATTTTCTTATTTACCCAACATTTTGTAAGACCCAATCACTTATTCTTTGTATTTGAACAATATTTATAAAGGACTTACATAATATATCTTTTATATAAATTTTTTCATTGACTCACAGCCACTCTCTTGCACAGAATCAGCATATTATTGTATTTGAAAATTCGCAAATTTATCCGTAACAACTTTACATATTGTAATACGCAAAAGTTATCATGAATTGGTCTCTGTTAATGGGCATACAGCATTCTTATTAATTGTAGACCATTTTCACGATTTTCGTTCTCTGAACCTTGCGTATATTTTCACATCTCGTCTTCTGCTCTAATGATCTTCTTCTTATCAATTTATTTTCTTTTCTTTCCTATTGCCGTCTTTGAAAGTCTGACTATTACAGAAGCTGTTCGCACATTTTTTAGACGATTTTTGGTAAGCGGTAATAAAAAATGTTGCTGCAAAAAAAGTAATTGCAATTGTCTATGTTTTTTAAAAGTCAAATTATTGTGTGGCTTGAAAGTTTTGTTTTTATTCAAAATGGTGAATTTAACAAAGCAGTGGTTCGAAGGCTACATTTACGCTCTTCCGAAGAGAAATATGCATACTCCGTTATCCAAAAACGATGTGGAGAGTCATGGTTTGTGATATCTAAAGCGTCGATAGGTAATATCATCAACAAGAAAGGAAACAAAACGTCAAATTGGAGCCTCAAGTGGGACAAAAATTCCAAACAGTATCCAAGGAAAAAACGGACATCTTCGACTATTGCAAAGGTTCGTTGTTTATTGTTAAAAGAAAATCCCCCTAGTCAAAGGACAGTTGCAGAATCATTAAAATGCTCGGTGTCCACTGTAAAGAAAATGATAAACATAGATTTAAATCTTAAGAAAGCGAA